GTGTGTGTGTGTGTGTGTGTGTGTGTGTGTGTGTGTGTGTGTGTGTGCGTTTTCGACACAGATTCCAGCCAAAAAAAACTCTTTGGTGACACGCCAGTCAAGTGTGACGTTCATTTCTTAATTTACTTGAGAAAAAACATTTTCCGATTCTGCAGAATTCGTATTCTTGAAACTCACTTTCAACACACTTTTTCACAGCATGTGTGCGCGCACTGGAAATCGGAATTGAGAATTCTGTTCTGTCGCACACATTTTATAATTCCAATTTCTCGGTGCGTGCATAAAGTACGATTTTCCTTTGAAAATATTTAAACTTCACAACTTTTGCTTCTTCTAATTCGTGTTCATTTTCTGCTTCTACCGAATGAGAAGAAACAGAAAAACGTATTTTATGAGAATAAAAGAGAAAAAAAAATGTTTTCCCTCATTGTGTTGATTGGGGCGCAATAATTATGTCCAAATATTTCTAGAAAAGCGGTTTCATTGCTCTGGGCACAGGAATGCTGATTTCTTTGATATTTGGATTTATATTTGGTTTAATTGTCGGCGCAACTGAACAGCCATGGGGTCTCAATGACTGGCCGACCGAAGAGATGAAAGGACGGTAAGTAAACATACACATTTTCCTCGTTGCGACCGATTTTTTTACGCTCTTTCTCGATCGTTCTATTTCTCTTATTCTCTTTCTCAAAATTATATTACTTTCTCTCTATCTCGCATTTCCCATTTCAATTTTTTTTTATTGTTTCTCATTCGCTTTGGCTTGGAAAACTCTCGTAAGTTTTCTGCTTCACTTCAATTTCTTTACCTGATTTTAGCGCTAAGCACATTGGATTTTCTTCGTTTCCTGTTTAAGAGAGAAATAAAAACCGCAGCGAGTAAACTTAAAGAGCCGTAGCATGGAGTGTGACATTTTCGGTTTGGTACGGATTTTTGATTGTATTTCCTGGAAATTCAATTATTCATGCTCATTGTGCTGTTTCTTTCATCGAAATTTGTCGCGCCCAGGCAGATATTGAATATTTAAAATTCAATTTGATTGTTGCCTCTTTACCGATGTTTTCAAACGTAGCTTAACTTTTGGCAACCTTCATACGAATGGAAACCACTTGGAACTTTACACTACCGAGAATTGATAAACAAATAACGAACATGGTTAACAGGAAAAAATACCGTTCTTTTATTGGTATCCCATCGCACTTTCATTTGTCAACCCAAAAGTGTAATGTTACATTGCTTATGCAGAAAAGAAAGATACAGGAAGAGAGAAGGGGAGATCTTTTTCAACATCCGCAGAGAATGCCTCATTTTCATATATGTTCTACGATGTATAAATAATTTTCTTATAATTAGATTAAAAAGCGTCTATTAAAATGAGATGAAATTGCCGGAGCGGTTTATTGAATTGACTTCGCGACTCGAATGCAAAGAATAAAAATGATTTAATGTGACCAATTAATGAGGAAAATGTGAAGAGTCATTGACTGTGCGCATCGTTCAAGCCAAAAGAAATTTATTCATTTTATTCATTCAGACGGCAGAGAGAGGGAGGAAGAGAGAGGAAAAAGAAAGAGAGAGAGAGAGAGAGAGAGAAAAAACAATATCACGTAGAGCGTAAGTTATGGAGTGACAGTGTGTTTTCAATCAAACTGCAAATGAATTACTGTGTCTTCGAGTGCATTATTATGAATTTGTATCTCACAGCGAATGAACATCTAAAAATAAACTCTAAATATAAACTGGATGTTGTGACGCAGTAACTTAAGCCCAATAATAGATAAATATATGAAAAGAAGAAGGCGTGAAAAGTAATACCATGCGAGAAAAAAAAAAACAGAGCATTAAAGTATCCCCTATAGATATGCAACGCTCATTTTGAGCTGAAAACTAGTTTGAATGGCAAATGGTAATGCAATGCATGCCGAAACAGATTGTATATCTCAAGGGACAGTCGTCTGTGCTGGATATAAGCATTTAGTGAAAATCGGTGATGTTAAACGTGCAAGTCAAATAAGCTGAGAAGCGTAAACAGCTCGATTCATTCCGGCTCCTCCGGAGAGATTCCGTTGTTCACACACATTGCGCAATTGCATTCAAAGTCGCAGAGTGTCAAGAAAAACGAAACACTCGCAAAGAGATAATTCTTCTGGAGCCCCACTCGAGTAAAACTAATCAAAGAATAGTATTCGAAGCTAAAATTAGTAAATCTACTGCGGCAGTACCGTATAACTCTTTGCAGGTTCTTTCTTCCACGAAATTTTGTGATAAAAATAAGTGCGCAGTCGTTGTTTTTATTCTTGCGATTCTTTTAATCGACTCGTCGTTTCTCCAACCAAATTACTTAAGCGTGTAATTTGTTGATTATATTGAACAAGTACACAGGCGGAACATACCACTTCAAGCGCAAAACACTTCACTTTGTTGGCGTTAGTTTTAGCAAATTGACAGATGCAATTAATGTTAATCTTCTTCGTTCTGGTTGATTTTTTCTCCTCTTCCTTCGCCGCTTGTTCGCTTTTCATCACGCCTTTTCTTTATTCTCAATTTAAAATGAAGTCGTTGCTGCAATTTGTTGCGTTGACGAGTAGTTTATTTCAACGTCGACGACGACGACAACGACAACGACGACCAACGAGTTCATTCGCTCGCTTCCATTCAAGACGTTGAATGAAAATTATTTCACTTGAACAACGCTAATTTTGGTGTGCATCGTTTACATGTTTTGTTGGGGCGTTCGTCTACTAACAAGAGTTGATGCATTTTGCAGGCAACAACAATAGTTTGTGAATGTAAATGCTATCGTGATGTTGTTGTTCTTGTTCTTATTGTTGTTGGTCTTTGTTTTCTTTTATCTAATTTCATTTCCATTTTATGTTTTTCATTTCCAGTGGAAATGCTCGTTCATTGTGGATGGGTGTCGCATGGTAAGGAAATTTCCGTCTCTCTGTTCAAAAACTTTCTTATTTGAGGGAGACAAATGAAAATGGACATTTTGTTTTCTTGTTTCGTTGTCAGGGCATTGACATCCGGCTCAGGTGTGGCGGTAGCACTGTTGTTGGGTGCATCTGGCCCTTTGATCGGTGTTGCAATTTCTGCATCTCTACTGCCACCGGTCGTCAATTGTGTAAGTATTTTTACAAATGGAAAATATCGATTTGCATTTGCTCCGTCGCTTCGACTCAAACATGGGTGAAACAACGTCATCCAATTTAAAATTCGGTTTGGATTGTGACAATTGTGTAATATCCGATTTCTGCTACGAATATTCTTTGATTCTATTTTCATTTATTCCGCAAACGAATCGGTTTTTTTGAGACAAGTTCATAGCCAAGCAGCAAAGATCGAGATGACGTCTGTCCTAACGATCCAATTTCAGGTATTGACACTTTTTTCCCTGTAATTTTAATGATTTCCACCGTTGTCTGAATTCGAAATTGATTCTCGTCTCGTACGAATGGAATGGTAAATGAATTTCAACGAATCAACATTTTGAAAATTGGACGAAAGGGAGAGAGAAAAGTTATACAATTTTCCAACGCATTTTCAGTTCTTGTGTGAGCACTATTAGCGTTGATCTGCTAATGAAAATGATTCATTATGCAAATGATGGTATTACGGATGTAAGTTTGTTATTACGTCGGATTTTATCAGGCGCCCACCTTCGTTGTCAACAACGGCATCAGCAGCAGCACGGCGGCAACAATGGCGACAAAAACAACAAGTGCTTATTATTTATTTTTCAATTTACTTATGAATACTTTTTGCCTAGCCACCTCCAATTCGTAAACTTTTACTTCTGACACATCCAGTCAGTGCGAATGATTATTGAAATATCCGTTTGATGGAATTAAATTCGTTGTCATTTTATTGGAAGCAGCCAGATTGAATAGGATTCAATTATTTTACGATTTCCGAGAATGTTTTCAACATTCAATTCACAAGTCTGTATGCCAGTGCTGCACTAGAAGTGGAAATGTTCAAATGAATGCAAAATAAAATGAAGCGGTCGTTTCGTTCATGATATTTGCTCTCGATTTATTTTTGAATTAAAGTTGTGCTTTTCTCTTGCAAACTTTTCTCGCAAATTATAAAACTTACTCATAAAATAGCTAATGATTTGCTTTCAGCTTCGGCATGGCAACTTGTAAAAGTGATATTTTGTGCTGACTTGATATATGTTTTTCCAACTGATAATGTCTTGACTTGATTTGCAGGCATCGGTCCTTGACACAGAAATCTTCTGCTTCCTTTTTTTCGCTCTCTCACTTTCTCTCTGCGAATTTCCATTTCAATAAATGGACTTTTATACGATGTTAAAGTTCGTTTCGCACAGTAGTTAGTAGTGTGTCAATCGGATGTGATGAAAATGTGCTGAATAAGCGCAAGACACAAAAGTTGATTCGTGATTACAGCTCAGCGTTATTATTAATTCGGACAGCGTGCATACAGTTAGATAACGTTTGTTAGGTCACGTTAAGCTTTTAATGTGTAACCACAACGCAATGGAAGTGAGCGAGCGAGAGAGAGAGAGAGAGAGAGACAAAAAAGAAGCATCCATGATATCTGCTTTCTTTTTTTCCTGTAGGCACGGAGAGACTCTGTGAATGTGAATGGGCTGATGAGCGAGCATGCCATAACGACTGATGCGCCAACAAATAAACGGAATAACAATGAATATTAATTTCTAGACCAATTTGTTGTGTATTTGTTGTTGACTCTGCGTGCCGAGAGTGAGAGCCTTGGCGTTAAGTGCGAAAAGTTTCGGTACATCGGGCCAAAAAGTTTGTGTGCAAATAGTGACACACACAACAGCCACACAATTGGCAAAGTAATTTTGCCCTCCATTACATTGAACTTGTGAAATTCATCAAAATCTCTTTTGTTCTTTTTGAAAATAATCGTCAGCATATGCACACGTACAAGAATCGAGTCGACAACAAGGCAACAACAGAGCACACAACTTAACCCTCTAATGCATTAATTTTTCACAGGGCTGGGAGTATTGGTACTTGGTTGATTTTTGGCAATAGATGATTAAGAAAATATTCATAATCCTGGATTCTCCATGGTTTAGTCAGGAAATGCGGTTGACATAAATCAGAGAACAATCAAATCCATTGTTTAAAAGTGTCAAAAATGTGTCTAATTTGGAGTTCGAATAATTAATTTTGTCAAATTTTTATTTTTGCACACATTTTTGTTTATAACTTTACAATCACACTACATAGATAAATATTGCCAAAGACAAAAATTAAGAGAAAACATTGACGAATAAAAATTCTCTTTGAAGCAATGTGATACGATGTACGGTTTACATTCTACAGGCATTCAAATGTTGCCCGTCTGGAGGCGGTTGTATGCATTAGAGGGTTAAATACAATTTTCTGTCAATCAAAAATGGCTTTTCACACATTTCGAATTGATGTATTTTTTTTATGATTGGCCAATTTGACCGCATTCACATCGCGTATGACCAACATGTTTATGGTTTCGTCTCGAAAATGTAAATAAACCAAAAAGAAAATGCTCTATGTAATGAAGCATCGATGGCAACGAAAACATAATTGGAAAAGTTTTGTTTTTTGCCTTCTGTGGACGTCGAATTCTATTTTTAGCTGAAAGCTTTTCAACAATTCAATTTTGATGCAGCTTTGATGCCGATCATATATTTCGTTAATCCAGAAGGCGAGAATTATTTCCTCAATTGTTGCGATGTGTATCAATGAGCCGTCGTAATAATGCGCCATTGGTGTTTAGTGGCATGGAATATTTTGATAATATGCTCGGAAACATCATTGCTGTTGAACTCTATAATTTTCACTGAATGATTTTACAATTTAGCCATTGCACATTGTGTCGCTTTCGGTTGGAGCGCGTATGCTGCGCGCCGCAAAAAGCAATCTGTGTAATGAGAAACGAACAAAGACCAACAATGCCGAATACCAAATGGCAATGGCAGTTGTAGTGTACGAAACGCATTTTCATTATGTAAAGTGAGCACAATACACAATACACAATTCACTTGGCCATTTTGACTGCTGATGAGGTTGGAAACGCGTTGTGGAAACATCTGTTTCTGAAAACGACCGGCATTGAAAAAGCATTCGTCAGGCCGTCAGTCAAGTAAAGCCATAGACTTTTTTTATTTTCAATCAAAAACAAACCACTCTCACCGCATCCTTCCGCTTAACTCATGGCAATTAATATGTTGTCGATGGGCACATTGAGCATTCATCATCCGCCCGTTTCTTGTCAGCACTGTGTAGCAAAATGCTTTACTGCCGATCACAAACTATTTAAGTCAGTTGGAGTTGTTGGCCGACTTGTTTCGTTGACGTTATACAGCATCCCAAAAATGATTGCAATTTATCGCAAGCGACAGCGCATTTTGATGTGTCATGAGAAACCGAACCGTTGCCAAAATGCAAACAGATGGCCGAGAATATGTAAATTTGATGAAGTCAATTCGAAACGAAGCCGATCCACACATCCACAGTCATAATGTTTTTTTTCGTCTCGTTACTTCTGCTTTGCCTCCTGATAATAAATGGGTCATAATGTGCTCGCTGTGTGAACAATTTCATTGCGATGTATATTTTAATGTTTCTCATCATCACAGGGACTATACTGGGCACTGGCGTGCACTTGGATGATCTACCATGATCGAGGCCAAAATGTGAAAATACCTCATATGAAAGGCGAACCATACACCGGAAATTCATCTTACGTGCCGCTCTATACAAATTATATACCGACCGAGTTTCTGATTAGTGGCATCGTTTCGGGTTTGCTAACCGTTGTGAACGTGATATGCATTTTTATCACCGCCATCATTGTGCTAAAAATCAAAGAAGTCGCTGCACCATACACGTCCAGCCCCGATTTGAGACGGTAAGTGAAATGACGGCCAATATAACGGTTTTAAGTAGCACAATTCACGCGCTCGCGCGTGAATTCTCATCTTTTAGCCCGTAGTGTTTAATTTCATTTCCATTGACCAAGTTTAGTACTGCTGTTGCTCTAATGTCGATTTTGTCGCGTTTCCACACGGACGCACTCACATCCATGCCCACATACACACATCTATGCCATAAACAGGCAAATATATTCGATATTACTTCGTAATATGACCGCTCACCACACACAAACACACTAAATAGATTTTATGTTCGTTGCCATTTGGTGGCTGGTTTCAAGATATATTCATATGCAGCCGCGCGCCCGCTATTTGACCGTGCAAGAACTGTCTTGAACATGTTTCGAAAATGGATTCCGGCTAATTTCATTTGGCGCTTAACTGGTAAGAGTTCGTTGGCGAATTGCTGGCCACGGGTGCTGCTATTGTAATGTAACATTTTGCGCTTTTATGGAGTGTGTGCAGTACATTCAATGACTAATGATGGCGGTCGGTCGGTCGGTCACTGGATTGCAATTTTATATTCTGCAGACGCGTTTCGCGTACTTTCTTCTTTATTTGTTGGACACATTTGATTAGCGCCCCGATCACGACTTCTCTTAAAAAGTCATGAATTTTTTAATACTGAAATCCCGTAAACCCTATTACACATTATCGACTAATCCAATTCACTGGCTGTTTATTTGCCGTTTTTATCCGTTTTGTTATTCGCGCCGACAGTTCATTTTATTTGCTGTCTTCATTATTCAGATTTATGCCCTTCTCCTCCTTTTTTTTGGTGTGTGACACAGTGAATGTTAACTTGCTCCACTTTTTTGTTTCAAGTGTAAATTTTGTGGATTTTGTAATGCATCGGCAAATAATGCTATCCTAGAAAAATAAACGGAGTGATCAGGCAACGGGAAAACGATATACCGAATGCCAAATGACATTCTCAAGTGATAAAAACAGTGGTGTTATCTCGCCGTTTAACAGCATTCGCAATATTTTTGGGTGGTGGGCAAAATACAAGTCGACGTGCCAAAATGATAGATTGGTATGATACTGTCACTGTTGTCTGGGTCGCGGCGCTTCGTGCAAATCATTCGAATTCCATTCTGTAGGAAAATATTTTCGCGACTTTCCATGTTATCCACGGTTAAATATGTGAATGAACAAAGGCAGCCGTCGAACGAACCACCGTGTGTATTTGAGGCGAGGCAAGTAATTTGGTTGGGAAACTTTGGTCTGACGTTGATGAATCATTAGACGCTTAGACAAAGATTTCGTATGAATGTATTTCATAACCGTGAACCTGACGAAAATGGATAAATAAGACTATGTGAATGCTAAGGTGCAAAACGATTGAATTGGCAACAGAAGATAGATTTGGTCGACAGAACAAATGGCCAAATTTGTAAGCAATTGTGTTAAACACGAGTTACAAGCTCTGCGTGAACGAATTTTGCAGACAAAAGATTATTGCATTTCTTAATTTTGGCGGCGACATGGCGACACTTGAATTACCTTGCCGAAATTTGGCTTTTTTTTTGTCTGTTCTCGTTCTTGGAAAGGGGATTCATTTTTGTTATATGTTTGTTTGTCAAAGTGAGAGAAAATTGGTCGAGAACAAGCGAAAAAATACGGACTTTTTTATTCGATTCGGAAACGACTTGAGTCGTGAAATTTTCCTTGGAATCAACTTTCATTCGTGCCACTTTTTTATTACATGTGAAATAGAATGAATTTGTTTATTTCAAAATTAATTGAATGGTTTTGTTTTAACTAGCTTGTGTTTGATCCACACAAACAACTTGGATTTGATGAGATTTTCCATTTACTCAATTGTTACTCATCAAGTAGCATTACGAATTCTTTTTTATTGCGTTCGATAAGATCGAAGCAATTCCCAAATCAAACATCAAATTAATACTCATTCAAATCCAATCACAATTTTACGACTTTGATAATTTCAATTGATCCGGATTCCACAATAACTTGAACCACTGAATTCGTAAGGAATAAAAAAAGACCCATCTTCCTATCGACAATAATTTTAAATCAACTTTTTTTCTGTCTCCTCTGTTTCCCTGTTTACGGTGCAAAACTTTTCTTTTGCATGTAATAAAAGCTTAAAAAACAATAAAGTTTCTTTGGTCGGGAATAATAAATTCTCATTCTGATGAAATGGGATAGAAGCGAACGAAGCAAAGAACAAACGAACGATCGTACAAATAGGGAGCGACAAAAACAATGCGAAAAAATCGGCACACGAACAGTTGTCACAACAACAGGGAAGAGTTTACTCTCTTTCCGAAACCAAATAACAAATGTTTCACTTAACTTTAACCCAATTTAAATTGTAAATTGGTACTTAATCTGATGTTAGTGAGTGTTCGCGAGCTGCTGTCACTGCTGATACCGGCACTCTTTCTCCCTCTCTCGTTTCGTTACGATTGGTTTATTCGTCACACTTATTATGTATTTGTGCAGAACCCGTGTCCCATGGGAATCATAAATCTACGGAATCAACATAGCAATAATACGCATTGGATTGAGATAACAAAAACAAAAGGGAAAGAGAGAGAAGCGAAGAGAACAAAAAAAATGTGATGCGGCAACGTCGAAGTCGAAGCACATTTTAAAATGGAATGAAAGAACATCCAATTAGAATAAATTTCAATTGCATAATAATAACGTTATTTTTCACTTCTGTTGATCTGCACGTATTGCCGCACAAAACGACCGAATGATAATGGATAAGCCACAAAAAAATGTAATTGAGTTATTGAATTTGATTAAAAAAAATACGACCAACAACAAGCGTTCGGAGATTTAATTTAAATTTCACATGACTCGTTTTATTGAAGAAATACTTTTTTCCCTCCTATTTTATCGAAACAATATGGATAGAAATTTAATCTCTACCCACACAAAAAATGAAGAAAAAGAAACAACAGTGAAATATCGATTAATTTATATTCGATGATGGATAAATCCAATGTTCTCGGCAAACAATCAACACTTTTGCAAAACTACTAAAGATGTTCATTTGAAACTCACAAGAAACCTCATGTAAATCTATTGCGATATAATAACCTATTTGTCTGCAACTTTTAACGCAATTTTTCTTTGCCAAACTTGATTATCGTGTAAGTTAAATTGCGCTCGAAGACTGTCTAGAACATTGCAACATGTTTCCACAACTATAGAAAACATATCAAACGAAACGAATCGCAATTTGAAAATTAATAAATTCCTCGGGCAAACTAATGGCTGAATAATAACTCATCTTCATATCGCCATATATCAGAGGTAATGGAGCAAATTTGTCGAATCGTTTTGACAAATTCGAAATGCCCCCTCCCACTCCGTCATTTCTCCCATTCACCCATCCACTTTCTCTCGACTGGCAAATATTTATCGAAACAGTCAAAGTCTGCATTAAAATTAACAGCAAATAATGAGACTGTGCTATCGTCGATTAGCCAAGAATATGCCTGCGGTGCGGTTGGTCATATTGAAATTCATGTGCGCCCCAAGTGATACGACTGATATGTGGGGATTTTATTGATATTTAAGCACCAACCTGGGACGAATGCTCTCGCAAAACGTTTTGCCAATAGAATGAAATGATACGATGTGGGGGGGTGAGGGCATGTGGAATGTATGTTGAATTGACGGAGAATTGGCAGACGCAAAAATTACGTCGAAGAGAGAGTGTGAGAGTGAAACATGTGGTTCGAAGCATGCAACAAGAAATCGTGATAATATTTCAAAATAATAGTTGTCGGTTGGTCTCAGATGTGTGCGATGTGTGTGGACGCACTTTAGAAACACAAAAAAAAAACTTTAACATCGCCCATACGCATTGTTGAGTGCTAATGAAAGTGGTTAAAGACAAGAGGAAAATTGCCACTAAAGGATTCCAATTTGAAACATTGTTGAACATTGAACTGCCATTGTTCTGCATCGTCAACTATATTAGATGTCACACATACACACACACACACACACGTTACGGATCCGCATTCGTAAAAGCTAAAGGCAACCGTTTATTACACGGTGAATAATTCAACCAGCTCACACGTTTGATATATATGCCTTGGGAACCGTTTTTGTTGTTGTTGTTGTTTTATTGAATGACGAGTAAAACATAATGGTAATTACGTTTCGAAAGCGATACTATTAGCCGCGCGCAAATCACATCGATCACCACACTCTCACATACACACACACACACATAAAAGCGAGCCAGCGCACACAGGCATACCACATGTTCCACAGTTTTTGGACCAAATATCGCGTTCACATTACTTGATATTCAGCCGTGATGCGGGATGTGGAATAATTCGATCGTTTCTATTCCTCTCCATTATCCCTCCCGGATTACTATTTATTTCGCGTGAAGTATTTCTGTGATTTTGCAAACCGTGCCAAGCACTCGACACAGTGAATTAGTTGAAGGGCCATTTATTTTCGTACATAAATATCATTTTATTGTGTTCGATAAATGAAACAAACGCTATTTTATGGTATTTATTTGTTGCGACCGCTTGAATTATTTTCAAGTAGCTCGTTGGCATCCAACAATCAACGCATATTTTGCATGATAACAATCTTCTCGCCCATCCAATTGATCGCATTGTGAGTATCGCCAACGAAAAAAAATGCATCATTCAAATTATAAATCAGTCAGGCTTTAGTGAAATTCGTCTGTTATTTCAAGGTTTCATTTCGAAATGCTACGTGAACTTTCTACGTCATGCAACAAACAAAGTGCATAACCCATGTCAAGCTGTCATTTTTCGCTTATCTCTCGTGGTTTTGGTTGCTGCAAAACTTTCGATTAAACTTCGAATAATCCATTTAATAGCGAATGTGAACGTGGCTCGATATTCGCTCCGTGGTTCATATTTTAGCTCAACAACAGAGCAGAAAAAGCGCAAGGAATTTCCATAATCTTTGCAATCTACGTACGCCAACGTCAATGCATTACATTCTTATATATATGTTATGAAAACTTTCATTTGCATTTGCGCATATTTGTATGTATTTAGAATCGGGGATTGCTCAAATGCATTCCATAAGCAAATTGTCAAGCATGCAAAACGATTCAGAGATGATGCAGAATAAGCACCACGTGATGGTAAATAACCCAGAACTTCTTTTTGATATGTGAGGCTTTTATAATGCTGAATTTCTCCTATCAAAACCACTTTCAAGTTTTACCTTCACCAAGGATTAACCGTATGTTTTCCATATCTACTAACTCTGTTGCCCCCACACGCGAATCAAAATATATGAAAATTCATAATGTGATATGAATGAAAATATGTCATCAAGTTGATGCTAAAAAAAATGAACAACTTTCTAGTTGATCATTTGCAATTTACCTTGAGCTCAAGCGGAAATAAGGAAGCGTGAATGTTGTTGCAGTGATTAAATTAATGAAAATGTTGTTGAAAAGTTGACGAATCATCAACACTTTGAATATTTTGAGGAGATTCCGGTGAAAATGAATAAGTTTCCGCGTAAAATGATGAAATAAGCTATTTTCACGGTTCAAGCTCGAAATATGTATAAATAAGCATGCATTTCTACTTTGATGATGGTTAAGAAACTTGGTAAACTAATTAAAATTCCATTTTAGAGTGCTTTCTGATGATGTGAAATTATTAACTCTTTCAAATGACCCGTGTCTCATGAATGCAACAAGCATAACTTTGACACATTTCTAGCGAATTTGCAATGTTTTTGTTCAGTTCATCCTAGTTTGCCCTCGAAAAATGTATTTGCACCTATTTTGTTCTTTACAAGTACTGTAACTCCAAGGACGATGAATTGTGAGGAAGGAGGAGAGGACTGAGGAGGTTCCTCTTCTCCTCAGTTCTTCATCCACCACCTTACAGTTCTTGGTTCTTCTCAATGAAGAAAATAGCCAAATATTCATTTGTCGTACATTTATATACAACTGTAAGCTTCATCAAAATTCCTGGAAACTCTTTTGTGGTCATGAAGTTTGCTATTATTTTAAGAATTTTCTCCTTTACAATAACTGATTACGCAGGGTATGTTTTTGATTCATATATTTTCAGATTTTGGGAGACGGATATAAAAACCGTGAGAGAATCAAATAGGTCAACAATACGGCGCAAATATGGGAACAACACTGGTGCAGCAACCAAGCCAACGTATGTGAAAAAAACTTCTTTATATTTTGAACAATTTTTAATGCATTTCTCAAATACTCCAACAAAGTAGCACTTTTTAAACCTCTAGATAAAACTATTCGATATGATTATTATTAAGCATGAGTGGGAAAACTTTCATTTTTGCGCTTCAAAGAGTTTCTGTCGCTGCAGTTTTCATGAAGTTTTGACTTAATTTACTTTCAGTAACTATTATTTTCCAGATATTACCATCATAATATTACCATCATAAAGGGTGTTTCACAAACTTTTTATATAAGATAAGTAATCCTTGTGCATCTGTCTTTTTTTCTTTTTCCATCTGCACTGATTAAATATTTAGATTGGACAACATTCTGGAGACGGATCCACAGAATGGAACTGCATTGGAGCAAGCGATCAAAGAAGCTGTTGACGATGAAACATTCCGTAAAGTGAAACGTATGAGCTACTCGGGTGGTTCAGCTGGTGAAGTGAGTATGCTTAACCAAATATTTGGTTCGTCTTTTGATAAATGCATTTCATATATTCATTTGGTAAACCATTCATTCGATGAAATCTGCCTTATTATTCAACCACTTGAACTCGAAAGGAATGCATACAATATTCAGCTGGTTCAATTGCTTCGAAATGTTTGAACATCATTGGATTCATAAAACTGGTTACCTTGGTAATATGATCGGTTTTCAAGGTATTTCCAGCAGTCTAGTCACTAAGAAGATTCAATATGAAAACCAATTGATATTCAAGCATCACAGCATCCATAAGCGTTAAACATTGTGCGAATTCTAATTGGCAACCACGAGCCAACATTGTGTCAATCATAACTGTGTAAGTTCAACATCATTGCATAAGTTTTCGTCAATATTGCTAATGCCGTGTAATTTCAAATCAGATAAAATTGTTTGTGCTCATTGAACAAAACTTGCAAAAATACCCAGAATAGCTAAAGCGTTCAAAGGCAACGAAGAGAATATTCACTGAGTGCAAATGCAACTTGTGCTCTCCTTTTAAAAATCTCTTCCCGGGGAAAGTGTACACTCTAAAACGAGCTTGACTACATCAAATGAAATTAAATTGTTCTTCAAGAATGAATGAAGTAATCATTTTAAATTGCCAATCCGTAGCAGCATTATAACATTTTCAATATTTTTCTTCGTGGAAAATGTTCTTTTGCTACAAGAAGATTGCAATGTTCGGGATTTTTTTCTCGTTCGTATTGTAAATATTTATCGATTAAATCGCTTAAACTTGGAATCGTGCTTATCTGGCAGACAATATCAACAAATTTGCAGCGACGTTTTTTTCGATGTCGTTGTCGTTGTTGTTGTTGTTGTTGCAAAAATCGACATAATAATCGTAACAATGAATTGATATTGTAAGCCATTCACCGCACCACTTTTCGAAATTATCGAGGACGTAATCTCTGTGTAAATCCCGACGTTTATCGTAACAAAAGAGCGCACACAACATATGTCAACACACTGAAACCAATGTATTCTAATGAATTCGTAGCAGAGGATTTCAATTTTTCGAAAACAAATTCCGATTGAACCAACAAATTCCAACGTAGCATGGGTCTAGTATGACATTCCCGTTGGACTGAGTGAAAAGTTTTTTATTTGAAATGTAAAGGATTGAAAAGCTTTAATTTCAATTAAATATTTTTTAGTCCCAACGATACGGGGTGTGGTCGTTGATTGTTCTTGTAAATGGTTTGTTTGTTGTTCCGTGACGAGTTGTATGCTGGTTCTGTTTGTCCATGTGACGATTTCATGACAGTGACCATCATCGTGATTTTTTTTTTCATTTTGTCACAGTCGAAACCATTTGAAATTTACACATCAAATCATTTGATAATTATCCGTTTATTATTTGTCTTAGTCAGTATCAGTTGTAACACGTCACACATTTTCCAAAATCAAAATATTTTGTCTCTGTCAACGTGTACCCAATCAAACAATTCTATTCCGGTTTTAAGTTTGCCGGTTGACCGAATGCGGCCTTCTGGCAAATTGGTTGGTCAATGGATGGAGAGTAAGAGGAAAAAAGTAAACAGGGAAAAATGTGTGTTTGTTTACTCAATTGTGTGATGTTGCTTTCGACATTGCGGAGATGGTTAGACGGCAAAAAGCTTCGCTTTCGAATGAACCCTTATCAAATTGAAAAATGAATGCGTGCGATGAACAACTTCTAATTCCACATATGTGGGAATTGGGAATTTGTATGCTTTACAACATTCGTACACACATCTATACAGACGCTTGGCCTGTACTGCTATCCATAGAAATTCAACTAATTTCATTGAAATGGGTGTCGTCACAAACAGATAGATTTTTGTCGCTCTGCCGAGCGTATCAAAAACCTATTTTACGTTGGGTGTCTCTTGCCTCACCTCAATTTTTCTCTTTTTTTCGTTCTAACGATTACGCTCACGCTCACTCAATGCAATCAACTTTCAAAAAGCGTCCTTTTTTTGATACGTGATTCCGACGCCAATGCCAATGCCTAACTTCATGGCCTTTCTCTCCTGTGGCCCTCTCTCACTAATTCAATCTGTGGTCAAATGAATGATTTGTAAACTTTTTGGTGGTCGACACAAGTTCAAAATTAAATGAGACTCAAAAGAAATTGAATCAATCTAACGAAAAACTGACGCCATTTGAGATAAGCATCATGAAAATTAGATTTTTCTTTTCGAATCCGAATTCAAAGACTTAGATTTACATTTGAAGCGGAGCAATTGTTATAATTCGCCTCCATGAAATTCGTCACGTCAATGTGACTTTCGCAATTACACATTCTATGGAATTGCTGTTTGTCTTGCGGATTTTGCGTCGTAATTACAGAAAGAAAAGAAAAAAACGGAATGTAATTATTGCAACAAATTAGGAATAATTAAAGAATTTCCGCGAGTATCCTTTTCGATCGACGACCAAAGACGCATTTCTCCAGAGTAATTTATACTGTTTTAGATAATGTCTGCAAAAGTATCGCATTAACTGAGTCTCGTGCGACCTTTTTTTGTTGTGTCGTTTTTCGTACGTTCAACAGATTTTCGAGCCAAAGTTTTTGCGTCTTTGACTGAAGCATCAAGTTGAAACATAACTTTGCTTTTCATCAAGCGAATTATACTCGAGAGAGAGAGAGAGAGAGAGAGAGAGAGAGAGAGAGGCAACAACACCAGCGGATTAAGATGACAACAATCACTCTGAAGCCGAAATGTAAAGAAATTTAATAAGCTTTTTCCAGACAAAACATTTTTTTCTTGCAGTTGTCTCACGAAATCGCAACTGTTGGAATCATCAATTACTTTTGCTAGCCATTTCGATTCGATAAAAACCGAATATCAAGGTGACAATCGCAAAAGATTACGATGTATGTAAAGCAGCTACGAAAACAAAACAAGAACAAGACAAAAAACAAATAAAACCTGAAAGCTTTACAATGAAAAATCATTCGTAAAATTATCGAATTTTTGTCGAGAAAATTTCCATGGATTTCGATGCACCAAAATAAATGAAGAAAAAATAATCTGAATGCAAAATTTAGATTCGAATTCAAATTCAGCTGTTGAGGTGTGATGTTTGTCTCGTACGCGTTGTTCCAGACAACAATTGAACACGTTTGCCTATTCAATTTGGAATTAGAGTGCGGTTTTTACGAGTTTTCACCATTTTTGCATTTACATTCTTGAATGGTAGAACAGCAACAACAACGGCGGCGGCAATATGCACACGACAAAAAGAAGGAGAAGAACAATTTGGGGCTTATTGCCCTGCGCTGAAGTTAAAAACCTATAAATGTTATTCACGTATTCCCAATGGAACCGAATCAAAAGCGCCATGCCAAGAAAAATCGAGAAAAAAATACCAATGCATCTGTTTGTTTCATTCAATGCAATTAGAGAGTGGGAAAGAGACTGTGAGGTTGGCGAATACGCCAGGAGCAATGGTACGTAAAACGAATGACAACACAAGCCATTCATAAATTTGTCACCAGTTTTTGTGTGCATGGTCGAGGTCAAGTGCTTGTTTATTTTGGCGAACGATGCTTTGTTGTTTGGTGCGATAGCGTTCATACGGCCGAATAGCCGGCATTCATTGCAATTGAAAAGGTGATGATTTTATAGAACATATTCAAAGGCATTCCAAAGCATAATTCATTATATTGTCATTTCGATAGCATTGAAGTGCATTTCAAAATATTCCATGAATGTTTTTTCTCTCTTTCTCCCTCTGTCTCTCTTCATTTGTCGTTAGATTACGAAGCGCTTAGGTCTATCGTCGAATGGCAAAAGTGGCAACGGGGACAACAGTGTATCAACAGCCAGCGCCATTCGAAATTCCAAAATAAATGCGGATTTAAACGTTTTGGATCAATTGGTATCGTCGTTGCTTGAACGACAAAAGCAATCATCACCACCCGTGTCGAGCAACAGAGAGTCGACCAAGTTAAGCCGCTTGAAATCGTTGTCATTCCGAAATCGGCGCTCATCGAACAAAGGAATACCGTCGACAGCTAATGAATTGAATCTGTTTTCGAGCAACAGCGGCAGCAATGGCAACACCAATGCTTTTATTCAAGCAGCCACAGCAATGCCAACCATATCAGAGAGCAGTCACAGCAACGTGATGCCCCTTACACCACCGTCGCAACCACAACAATCGTCATCTGCAATGAATTCGTCAAGCTTGGATCGACGGCACGGATCATCAGGTGTACGACAAATTATAAATACCATCAAAAATGCACCGCATCGCTTGAGTCAGGGCATTTCAATTGATCATCATCGTTTGAATGACGAAGAAAGCAGCAATTTAACACGAAATATGCTCGACTAAATTCGAGAGCAATTTTTGGAAATCAATTTTATCAACTATGGATGCACAAGTGTACACTGCATATGTTCAACCTATATATGTGTACGGAACAATACGGAAATACCAATAATAATCGACACGAAAATGTGTAGTGGTTTGATGGAGTAGTTAGAATTTAAGTGGAATTTTGTTTAGCTTCATTTTATCGAGAACAGTAAATGTGATTTATTTAGAAGCGAAGTAACAAAGGAATTTTATTATTTATCGAGGGAAAATCAGTTGAATGGCTTCCATCGCATCACATGTTTTAGTGTTCATAAAATCATGTAAACAACATTTGTTAGCTTTTCATCACAGCACGATGAAAATCCATATCATCTTAATGATGAACCGTCTGTTTTCATCAATTTTTGCTGCCCCATAAAAAATACTTTGTTCCAAATCCGACGCGTATTTCGTTCGGAAATTCGGGTATAAAAATTTATACGCTTTGATTCTAAGCGGATCATAAAACCATGAAACGATGAAACTTTCAATCTGTTCGCTGATTAGGACGGGTGTGTTATACATTCTACATTCTGTATGTGAGCTGTGTTGGTTTAAATGAAAATTGGTTGCATAACAAAACGCTGGTTATACACACACAAATGCACGAATACAATTTGAAGCTTATTTTCGGCTCAAGAATACTGTTGCAGTCTCCCCTCACAAAATGTTCGCTAAATCGAAATTAGTTTGTATTTCCGTAAATGCTATTAACAGGAAACCACATCGACAATGCCACAAAATCATTGCTTGCTACATACACAATAGCATAATCTATTTGCTTGCTCTGTTTCCAACTGTTCATTCGATCCGATTATTAAATTAAATAACAAATTGCATTTTGGGCTTAATACAACCTGTGAATTTCCATGGAATTAATTATTTCCCATTTGAATGGTGAATTATGTGGTGCATTTAGGTTTGGTGTATTCGATAGGTACAAATATATGTTGATTAGTCTGTGAAAAATTGCAGACATTGGTCTGCTCCCTTTTTGTTTGTTTGATTGGAGTGCATACGACACACATTTACGTTTAAACTGAAACTTTTTCCCATCATAACTATAATGCACCACTGTTTCTGATCTGTTTCTCATGCTGATTGGTTACACAATAAAGAGTGAATCAAAAATTGATTAATTCGGTATCGTAATCATATATTTACAATTTCCATAGGAAAAAAGGGTTTTAACCATTTGAAGTGGTTCATTAAATTGAACTTGTTTCGACAGAAATTGGTTTGATTGAGTCCATTTGTTACGGTAATTAAATCCATACACATCAATCATAACTCTTTCACCCGAACAAATTACGAAGTAAAAAGCGGGTAGCGGCGGCGGCGTCAACAGAGAGGAAAAAAGCGAACAAAATGCGCATCATGTATTTAATAAGTGAGCATATTAACATTGAATGCAACATTCATCTCTCGTCTCCAGGGTGCCACATGGTTTATTTAATGTGGAAATGTGTATCTACATTCATCTTTCGTTCCCACTAGCAACAACAACAATCATCGCAATGAGGCTACTCCTGAAATTAAACAAAAAGCTTTTGGCATTTTGCAGCAGGAACGGGAGCAGGTTTCTTTAATGCTTGCTCGCTTGTATTTGTCTCCCTCTCTGTGTATTAGAGTAGAGCGATTTTGGCAGTTTTTCGAATTTCGATGCGTACACTTGGGAAAAGTTGCGCCATCAAGTCCTGATTCCAATACGAATCAGAAAAGTGTACTTTCATAGTCATATAGTTTATCGTCTAAAATGTTGGTGATGAACATTTTTTCAAAAAAATCGAATTTTTCTACTTTTTGCAAAAAAAAAAGGTAAATTTTAATCAAATATTAACATTTTAGCCATCAAATAGCTTCGTTATCTCAGTTTATACAATAATTACTCATCTTCACCACACTTCGCTGTGGTGGACCATCATTTTATACTTAGTTCGTGCGGAACGAAGAAGGTGAAAAACACTGGAAATTAGAGTGCATCGATTTCTTGTGAGACAGTAAATGATGGGGGGTGTTTATAAAATCGATTTTTTTTGTGCAATTGTGATCGTCGTGAAACTTTCAGAATCTTATTATTGACCGAATAACACATTCTCAGAAAGTTTGAGGTCATTAGGAGTTTATTGGGATAGGAATTAGTGTTTTAAAGATACATCCCGTACAGATGTTGTCGTTCTAAAAAGTTGATAGAATGATTTGTGAGGGAGGTATCCTTAAAACACCTAATTTTTATCCTTAATTGATTCCTAATGGCCACAAGTTTTCTGAGAATGTATTTTTCGGTCGAAAAATAAGATTCTGAAAGATTCACGACGATCGCACAGTTTGTTTTTTCGATTTTATAAAAATACATGGAAAATCTCAAAACGCCGATCCAGAAAGGGGTGATCGTACCAAAGTGCCAGGACAAAAGTTGTTTCTCTTGACGAGATCTATCAAAGCCACATAGGCCTCTCCCATCATTTACTGTTTCAAAAGAAATCGATGCACCTACCTTTTTTTTCAATTGCAAAAAGTAGTAAAATTCGATTTTTCTAAAAAAATGGTCATCACCAACATTTTAGACGATAAACTATATGACTATGAAAGTACATTTTTCTGATTCGTAGGACTTGATGGCGCAACTTTTCCCAAGTGTACGTATCGAAATTCGAAAAACTGTCAAAATCGCTCCACTCTACTGTGTATGTATGTACACCACAGGCCATAAGTTTGGATACCCCTATGAAACGTTTGTTTCTACGTTTTTTGAACATTTTCACTTGAAATTTAGTATTGGATATGAAAATATATCGAAATTCTGACCGAATGGATGATTTGGAAGATAACATTTGGTCGGCCTATGGCCATCTTTTGGCCTTTGAGCTGTGGGAGCGAAAATCGAAGTCTTAAACAGGCCATCGGATTAAAAAGTTATATACGCCATTGGAAAGGCCTTGAAAAGTAGATGTAATTTTTGGTATTAAACATCAAAATCGGCCGGCGTTTGGCCAAGATATGGCCGTTTGTAATTTTTGGCCGAAATCTTCAATCAGCCATATCTTGGCCAAAAGCTGGCCGATTTTGATGTTTAATACCAAAAATGATATGTACTCTCCGAGACCTTTCCAACGACGTATAGCATGTTGATATTGTACAAGCGGTTTGAAATTTAAAAATTTTGGGCCAAATTCATTCATAGGGGTATCCAAACTTATGGCCTGTGGTGTATGTACGTGGTGCATGCGACTCTCATGGTGAACAATACGGCAAGGCATCTTGTAATTACCTCCGTAGTTATTTCATTCGGCTCATGAATTTAATAATCATATTCCACAGTGCGCGGCGCGCACAAAAAGAAAACAAACAATAATAATATCACACTGAATTTCATGGAATGGAAAATTGTTTTACTTACATGCTTCTCGAGAACAGTTGGTAGATGCTCGTTCATTCGTCGTCTATCGTTTCGATTGTCGCTCTGCGAAAACTGTGATGCATTTCCCAAGCGTACGGTTGCCTCGTATCTGGCGCGTTCACGATCTGCGAAATGATTGCATAAAAACGAAACAATAAAAATGGTTTTCATTTCAGAAGTAACAGCAACAGCTACGATTAAATTGCATGTGATTTGCAGCATTTGTGTGGCGCACACATTTTGTAGGACCATTACAAAAGCCTCCCCATAATAATATTGTTTATTATTTAAAAGTGTCATTCCGAATTGAGATGCCAGACCTCTTCCGGTTTATACTTCCATTCACTCTCTCTTTCTCTCTCTCTCTCTCTTTATTCTCTCTCTTTCTTTTAAGCGCACGTTCGCTCGCTCACTCGCTCCCATTTTCTCCATTCGCTTCAAAAGAGAGCAATTAAGTTTTCATATACTCTTTTAAAGTGGTTCTCAACTTCATTATTATCATCAAATCGATATTTTAACACAGCACATTCAACCGACGGTATAACAGTCGTTATAGAAAGTAATCCAGAAGCGTTATGATTAGTAGTCATTAATTACGGTGGTTTAAATTAGCATTCCTTTTTTTTAACGAACTACCCAAAGTTAACTCAAGTGGCACTTAACTTTTTCATTTTTCATTTATTATTGTAAAACAAATCGACATGAATGCAAACATTTTTGTTTGCTGCATGCAATGTTCACAAGTGACTTCATTTCAAATAGAATGATGCAGTTGAGCGTTTGTTTCATTGGACTTTCATTATGTTATGATGAGATTTCGCGAAACATGAACGCAATATGGAATTACAAATACTCGCAATTTCATTACAATCCCATATTTTGATTTTCAATTCCATTTCATTTCTCGTTCAACTCGTTCAAAAGCTCGAATCAATTCCCAGAAAATGCGAATGCACCGTTCAAAGCTTCATTTCAACTTTTTAATCATATTTGTCGAAATGTTTACTATAATTTTAATTCGCAAACTTATTAAATTGCTCACTTTGTTCTCTCTTTCTCTCTCCGGTACTTCACGGTGCATCGGCTTTGTTAGTCACAAAGAATTGCATCAATTTGAAATGCAGTGCTTTTTCCCCTGACACCTAACGTTCGACGGCTTCAATCTAAACGACATACACTTTATTTAAACGAGCAAAAAATTATCTCAACGATGATGGCACTCGTACTTACACATTTTCGACTAGCAATTAATTCACTCTTGAATTGAAGCCATTAAAGCAATGACACCTCTTTTCGTTGAATTTGTGTGTTGTGCCAAAAAGAGATGCGTATACCACATTAAATGGCGTCTGTGTCGCGCGTTAAAAACAAAAGCATCGCACACTAATGATAGCAAAGATCATTATCACCTCAAAGTGGTATCATTGTCAATGGTTTTGTTAGGTATCTCGTCTCGTCTACGTCTGACTCACTGAATACACACAATGAACGATTCACGTACGACCCAAAATTGGTACGGGTTCAATGGCCAAAAGAATGAGGCGTATAGTTTATGTAACAATGAGAGCAATTTTCACCCGAAAAATTCCTCTTAAGCACGAACTAATCATTAAAATCAACGCAGTCAGTCGTCCATATATGCATATTGGGGGAACCCAAACGCAATATTACTCTCACTCTCCCATCGAAGAGCAGCAATTAAATGGATCTTCGCGTGCCAACGCAAATTGGAATTGAAACTTAATTAGTTTGGCAAATGGATTTTCATCGGTGGAACATCAATGGATTTCGCCTCTTGAACTGATTCTTCCATTTAAATGAGCTTTTGATGTCAGTTGCATGCAAATGCGTAACGACATCGATGGCGATGGAAAATGTGCCATTGAGCTCCACACGATAATCAAGTCAAATGATGACAAAACGTGAGCAAGAAAGCCCATAGAAAAAGTGTTAAAACTTTGAGATAGATTCTGTTTTTTCCTCTACACAGAAAATCGCAAGAATGATTGAAATTTTTTATTGAAGAAAATTGAAGGATGAGGCAATTCGTTTCTATTCTGCATATTCTGCTGTGAACTATTGGCGGGTGTGAGGGAGACAAAAAGAGAGACATCGTTCGCGTGATACGAATGTATACGATGCAGAGTACAGTTCAGTTCACATTGATAAATTGCAGACAATAATTCAAAGCGAAGCAATTCAGGCGTTGCCTTCTTTGCCATTTGGCATCATTCCACGTCAACGCCAATCAGATGGTGCTCGATAGCTTATAACTTCAACGCTGCGGAAAGGTGCACGAACACCAAATCATTCAAAACATTCGTTGCCGTCGATGTCGCCCGTTTTCAGTGGTGCACACAGATTTAACGGCGTGCAGACAGCATAAAGCAAAGGAAGCACTACAGAGAAGTGTTTAATGACCAATTAATTTCTACGATAAATGATATAATAAAGACTATTTACTGAAGGGTTTTCAACGGTGTTTTCATACAGTTTTCGCTATCGTTGTGTATTGTCGCTGTGTTCATAAAAGATATGTCAAAGTGCTAAAGAAGTGAAAAAAGCATTCACAGCGGAATGAAAAAGAGAGCATATCGCACAGACACCGTACCGAATGTCCGAAGCTATATGGCATGGCTTATTTTTCTCTTCACTCTCGTTTGCTTTCTCCGTGTCGCTTTTCCCTTTCGGAACAAGAAGAAGACTTGGGAAGTAAAATGGGAAAAGAGAGAGAGAGAGAGAGAGAGAATGAGAAAAAGTTGGTGTGGTGCAGCGTTGCACTTGATAAATAGTCGTAATTGAATGCGAATACGAATGCATAGTGTTATAGTGAAGCGAAGAGAAATTGTATGGGTACAATAAATTTTTGTAACTGCGTTTTAATAATACCTCCCGTCTCTGAAATGTGTTGGAGATTGCAATCGGGAAAAAGTTTTCTGTTTGTGGTTTTACAAAGCGGATCTGTGCAGATCTCTGCGTTTGTGTGTGTGTGTGTGTATGTGGCGTGCTTCAGCTTCTGCAAATGTCTGGTGATAGCATCTGAAAATGCGCTTTGGTTAATTTTCACTCATCCATTTTGCCCGATGCCACTCGTTTGCTTCTATGAAAACCATTTAAACCCATTTAATCTAGTTGAAAATGTGATCATCACACATACGTACACAAAAAGCAAACGGCATACACAAAGAGCGAATCAACAAAAGGCGACGGTAATATGCTTTACGTTTATGAGAGAATGCATACCCACTTGTCGTACAAGTGTCCACAATCTGTAAACTTATAACGGGAAATTCTTTCAACATTTACAGCGTACGGTGTTTTTCTCTCTCTCTCTCTCTCTCTCTCTCTCTCTCTCTCTCGGCTTCTTTCAATATATGTAAGTCACCTTTACATTTGAATGAATTTGTTAGGTGAATGAGTTTCCCCTATGGAGATGATACGAGTGAAATCAAGCGACCGAAAAGAATGATTGAACACTCAACGGAAAATGTTTATTCCAAAGCTCATAGAGGAATAGCGGCAACGACAACAACAACAACAGCAGCAGCAGTAGTAGTCGCAGCACAGAAAATGTGTCATTCGCTTCGTTTGATTGTGATGGAAAATCTCTGCGTGTATACACATACTGTTGCCATATATAGAAGGAATGATCAAGATAAAGCACAGCAATCTAGTGAAAAAAATGTGAGCAACAATTTGTTCATATTATGTTTTACGTATCCACCTTGATTGGTGAAGCATAAGGAACAAAGTCTGTGCCCTTCTCCCTCTCTCTCTCTCTCACCCTTCCTCTCGGTGAAGAAAAAAACTCACCGGCATTGGCTGAAAAGGTGAAAATGTAAATTTTATTTGTAAATAATGCCAAAATATAAATCAGAGAGCGGTATTGCATCACCGAACTATTCGAAGCATTCACAAGATGCGAGTTCGTGCCAAACATAATATACCTGTTTGGTGTTTATGAAGCACTTCGAACGACTGCACACAAACACATGGCCAAGTGAACGAACGAATGAGCGAGCGAACAAGGTGAAGTATAACAACAAAATGCTTTATGCGATCATCAATTTTTTCCGGTGCTTCGTTCGGTCGTTTTGAAATTGAAGAATATATCGTGAGCCAAAGAGTGCGTTTGCTTGTATACGGAGTAAAAGTTTTATGTGTGTGTGTGTGTGTTTGTGTGCCGAAGCGCTATAGTGTGTGAAGTGTGCCAGAGTGTGAAAAACAACAGCATCAAAACCGGTAATCAATTTAGTGACTTTACAGGATCTTACATTTCTTCACAGTCTCCTTGAGCATGAGAGAGAGCGAGAAAGAATTTGTTCTTGCTTGCACAACGAATGATATGGTTTTGAGCTCATTTCTCATTGCTCGCCACCGTAAACTAATGCCATATGAAACCTCGACGAAAAGGCAACTGGCAGAAAGAATAATGCGATCATTTACTGCTTTATTCTCCGGTGTGCACTAAACACCATACTGGCAAGTACACGGCAGAAGAAAGAATGAGAAAGACAAAAATAGAGGTAGGAGAGAGAGCAAGAATGTGGAACAGAAGCCGGCGGCCAAGTACACCAGGTAGATAGTGCAAATAACACGAAAATGAATGTTCACGTTCGCTCTTTTTATAACGAGCGACTTTAGCCATTTGTCCATTTTTTCGATTGCACCATTTAGCATTTTATAGTACAATTTGTTCCTTTAGCGAAGTTTGCGTTTTTTTTCTTTCCAACGTTCTCCTTCTTCATCGTTTTTTCTTTCCAACGTTCTCCTTCTTCATCGCAATTTGTTTGTGTTTGGTTTTTGTATAATACATCTTGCTGAGCACAATTTAGCGTCAACACCATGCACAAGAGTTGCATGGCATTGCGTTGCTATTTTCCACTACAGTCAAACATTGACCATGTAAATAATTCTTGGAAATCTCACTGTTTTGTTTACGATTCTCACTCCTATTTACTTTTTACTGCAATTCACTTCTTATTGATGGTGGTGAACGTCTTTTTCCCGTTCCTCACTTGATTCACCATACTTTTTCTCCATCATTGCACCAAAGAGATTTGTTTCTTTTTCTATTTTCTTTCTCTTCGTTCATGACCATGCGATTCAGAGAATATTCACACCGTCTCTTGAATTAAAATCATCAAGAAAAAAAAGCGTCGAATAAATTTGAGCATATTTTACTTACTTGATATGGAAGTGCTTTGGGTACATTTGCAGAAATCCTGTTCGGGTCCGTTGAAATGGCATTGACTATCACAGTCTTTTTCGTCGGAAAAACAACCTAAAATGAAATCAAACGCACACAAAACAGTCAAACCGAAATGAACGAAATCGTCGACATGCGACGAAAACAAATAAGAATCGGAATAAATTTATGTATTCTACAGCTATCTATTACTGGACACAATTGCCGTTTTTCTTCTCTATCATTCCCGCTCCCACTCTCTTTCGTCATATGACTAGCTTAGAAAGTCAACAAACACTAACTGAGGGCGACACAAAGCAAATAATCATTTGATGTTTATTCGGGGGGCGACCGAAAAATAAAACTAAACTTGATCCTTAAAAAGCGTTACAATAACGATGGCAATGGTAATATAGTGTGCTTTAGACTTTGAAAGTGCAATTGTTGGGGAAAAGCTGAATGAAGAGAAGCGTAGGGAGAGCCAGATGGTGAGGGTATATGGCTGCAAGACAAAAACGGGCCATTTGAAATCGAATAGCCTTGGGAGGAACCAAAGATAAACAACAACATCAGCATCAGCATCCAGATTGTTTATTTTCCTTGTGAACAAGCACATTTTTATGTATGCACCCAATGACGTGGAACACACTCGCTTCCTACCACTCAGCTTTTGATTCGAACTTCTTAGTGCCGCTGTTGCAGCACAGCATTTTTAAATGCATGGGATTTATAAGACTTTGCCATTTAATGCACTTTCCTTTCTGTATTGGGTGTATATAGTCTAGCTTTTGCCATTCTTCTTGATGTTTTTCGTCATTGTTTCAGAATAGTTTCCACTTTGGTAACAAATAAAGTCCACATAAAGTAGACGATCTAACGAACGTAATGCCAGGGCGATAAGCATGGAAAAAGTGTTCAAGTGTATGTGTGGGTCTGTGGACGATGAGACAAAAACAATTGCAAAACAATGCACAAACATACACATTATTCAAAGAGAATAGATTCATGTTTTAATGACTCCATATGTTGCCCGAGCAAAGTGTCATTAGTTTGGCTTAAGATATTCCCTTTGCTTTGGTCTCCTTTACACATTTTCTATCCATCGCGCTGCGCTCTATGTACCCCATTGCCTCACTCTCTGTCTCTCGTATACACTCGGTCGCATCGAAAAACTTTCGCTTAAGTGGCTTGTGCGTGTGTGAGCACGTGCACTGCATTTGTGTATTGTTTATCGAAGTTCAAAGTTGGAATATTTTTGCAAAGAGACGCTCAACACCCCCAGCCGCATAAATTCGCAAAGAGATAGAAAATCGGCTGGAGTTAAAATGATATAAGCATCTCATACACACACATACGCGACAGAACGTGCTTTTGGGTTACTCCATGTTTTTATTTTTCAACTGTAAAACTTGCTGAAAATGATTGCATGAGATGGTATTAAATCAGCCTCGTTATCACTTCACAACATCTTTCTACAGATTAGATACAAAATTTCTTGCTTGTCATTTAGAGTGCTTAAACGTTTCAGGGATTGCTTTGCTCGCTTCATGTTTCATTACATGCAGAACACCATGACCAGAATGCATCGAGTTGAGGGAGTCCTTCACAAAGCTAAACTTGGATTTACCGAAGTAGGATTATCAATAAATTAAAATCGTATAGAAATTGATTTGATTAATTAACATGAAGGATGAAGATGAACTTCGAGAAGATAGATAAGAACTTCTTAGTCTCTTCAATCGGATAAATGGTCAAATGATATGTCTTTTAGCCTAATTGTCAATGTATAATCAACAGACTAAAGTTTTGAATGTACACAAAAAACGAGTATGTAAAGTATGGGTTCCAAAACGATAAATCTTCTACTAAAAAAATCTGCTCAAATGAAATGACGTTTCTTCCTGTATTTTAGTGCGCTCTCAACATTTCAACAGATAGCTGTGCAAATCACGTCAAAATTAGCTAATCACTTATATGATATAGCTTTAAAAGACAATTTTCACTAAAGTTCAGTGATTTGGAAACTTCGAAGGGCAACATTTTCGTCGGACACCGTCCGGTCAGAAGCTAAAAAAGTAATCAAAGTCCATAGATCAAATGAAAACATTCGACTTTTAGGTAAAAGGAATTGCATTTGGTCTATGTAGAACAGAATCATGTAAATGGCCTTGAGTTAGCTCTACTTTCTTCAAAATATTCAATAAAATGGAATCATTAAATTCCCTGCTGGTGATAAAAAGGGTCAGTGGTTGAGACAACGCATAGAACGTCTGTTGCTGCCTGGTGATACTATTTGAGCCATATGCAACAAACTATCTAAATAGATAACTAATGCTTAAATATGGTAAGTCGAGTCCGAATTACACTGCCAGCTGCAAGAATGGCTCACGGTGTTGTGAGCACATGCTTACACACACACACTCGCACTCACATATATAGTCATAAACAAAATCTGGCTTTTGAATTTTCGATCGCATAAATTCGGTGAAATTGCCTCCTGTAATATTTGCATGAAAAGTTCGCAGGCATTCTACAGAACAAAAGGTGGCTTTAGTTAATTTGAAACGATAGATTTATCGGTGGAAGTGAAAATGTGAAAATGCACAGTGAATGGCATGCTACAACTTCTGGCGTTCGAAATCTGGTGTGTCAGTTTTGGCTTTTACAGAACGTACCCTACAAGAATTGCGGAAAATAATTTGCAGAGTTAACGAAATCAAATATTTTTGTACAGCCCATTCGAAAATATGGAACAGCATCAACTCTAATGAATTTCAACTACAACTCACTTCAAATTTCCGTGTTCTCAGCATTCCATTCTTTGCGTTCACTGAATCGTAATATCCACACGCAGATACAACTAGATGCCTCACGTTATACACACGCATCGAGAGAATGGGTCCGTATTTTTGTTTTGCATGCAAATAGTTGTTTTGCTTCTCGTTAAAAGTTGTACGGTGCTGTGTTTTTTTAATGATATTTCACGGCAAATATAAATAAACTATCACATTGTAGCGACGAACGGAACGATGTTTGCGTTCTACGCGATGGATTTTTCAAATTAAATTCTATGTGTTGCATAAACCATCACACAAAGACACGACTTCCTGAAAGAGTGTGTGTATTTGTGTGTTGTTTTGATTTTGTGCAACAAACCTAGCGGCAATTTTATTTATGCAAAACACATCAGCACATCACACAGAGAGCAAGCAGCGAGAGAAGGAAAGAAGAAAAATACCCAAGTGGAACAAATAAAATATGTGACAAAATGCCTAGCAACACAAAGACTGATGTTCGTTTATTGGAATTTATTTTGTTGAACTATGGTGAATTATGCGCTAGCATTCCGTGAAGTCGTAGCCAATGTACGTACATATAGTGAGTACTTGCTCTGCCTTTATATCAGATAAATATCGAAAATGAAAAATCGTTAGCTGTTATGAATGAAACGAGCGAACGAACGAGCCGCGTTGAACTTGCACAGGGCCATATTTGTGTAAATAAAACAATGTTTTCATGAGCTTCAGAAATCCCATTCATTTTCGTTCGGCACTGCAGCTGCACTTGTTATTGTTATTATTATCCCATTCAGCGCGCGTGTGTGTATGTGTGCTTTTCTGTTGTCGCCCGGAGGCATTCATTACCTGTTCTGCATACGCTCGGAAACGAAAGAATAAACCATATAAATTAGTTGATAACGAAGGCACTCGCAAAATTTATATACATGAATGCCTGACAACCAGAACTAAATCAATTAATTTATAGTTTTCGTGGAAAGTTGGACAAACTGAGCCGATTCAAAGCACGACCGTTCAATTGTAGGTCTCAACTGGAGTATCAAGTCACAACCGCTGTTTGACAGTTCATTGGAAATTGGCAAATTTTAAATTGCATCACGAAAATTGATAGGTATTTTGTTTGTGTATCGTAAAACGAGCGAATCGCTCACACTATCGAAATCGGCGCCAATTTACATATTTTCCCATTCGATGGCATTTAACAACACGGCAATAAAACACTCCTTTTCTGTACAAATATTGATTTTCACTTAATTTTCCACCATCGCTTACCATTTATGTCCTCGTCTTCCGGTATTTGACACTTCTTGCCTTTGAATCCTTTCGGACAAATACATGTAACACCTGCGTCTCCAATTTGTCTGTGGAAATGAAATGGGAAAAATATTAAAATTACATTTATTTAAATTTCACTGTTATTTCGAAAGTAAATCCTTCTTCAGAATAGTGTAATTCAATGGAAATGGCCCATTTCAATTTCAATAATTAAAATTCTCTCATTTCTTTTTTGTTGTTTGTACTTTATACAGTGAGAAAAAAATGGCATTGAATTAAACGCTTCATTGAAATGGAATTGATTACATTTTTCAAATGTGTGTGTGTGCTTGCCAGAGCGGTCAACGAGCGCTCGTTCGTTCGTTCGTATGCGAACATGTTCGTTTGTTCGTTCGTTCGTTCGTAGAATCTACGAACATGTTCGTTCGTTCGTTCGTTCGTTCGTAGAATCTACGAACATGTTCGTTCGTTCGTTCGTTCGTTCGTAGAATCTGCGAACATGTTCGTTTGTTCGTTCGTTCGTTCGTAGGTAAAATTTCATTTTTTTTTTTCAAACATAAAATTTTCTTATTTCTTAAAAAAATATAGGAATGATCCTATGTACTCAATAATACTGTAAGCACTATAATACTGTAATTTACAAGTTGTGAACATTATTTTCGCACAAAAAATTTAACGAATATTTTTTTGAGTTTCCACTTGCGCAATTGAATGAAATTGAAACTAATTAAAAACATCTTCACTCAACAAAAAACATCGCTGAAAATCTTACTTTCACTCATTGTGGTTTGTGTGTCCGCTGGCGAGAATAGAATGATATGATAATTAGCTGGACATGAACGTGGAAGTTGTAAAATGATGAAAGTAATGCATACAGAGAGAGAGAGAGAGAGAGAGAGAGTGAGAGAGATAAAAATGACAAAGACAGCAAAGTTCATCTCTTTTTGTCATTTATGGTGTGCAATTCAGAGAGACTTGTTGCAGTGATGATTTAAATCACATGGACGTTCAAACAGTGTGTGTTTTACGCACTGTGTTAAATCGCCACGTGCAAAACAGTTATACGTTTAGACAATGTTTTGTTCTGTGATCGTACAACACACACAGTTCGAGCGACAACGTGCTTCATGATATCACAGCAACAAGACGAATCTGAAATGTGCACACCATACTTGGCAAAAAGAGATGAACACTGTCTTTGTCACTTTTTCTATCTCTCTCTCCGTATGCATCACTTTCTTCGTTTCACAACATTTGAAACCAGCATTATTATTGCTTATTGCATTATTATGCATCCAATTGTGCAAGTGGAAACTCAAAAAAATATTCGTTCAATTTTTTGTGCGAAAATAATGTTCACAACTTGAAAATTACAGTATTACAGTGCTTACAGTATTGAGTACATAGGATCATTCCTATATTTTTTTAAGAAATAAGAAAATTTTATGTTTGAAAAAAAAAATGAAATTTTACCTACGAACGAACGAACGAACAAACGAACATGTTCGTAGATTCTACGAACGAACGAACGAACGAACGAACATGTTCGTAGATTCTACGAACGAACGAACGAACAAACGAACATGTTCGCATACGAACGAACGAACGAGCGCTCGTTGACCGCTCTGGTGCTTGCTCACTATGCAGTTATTGCATGGTTGGATGCAAGCCGTACCCTTGTTTGAGCCGCACAAATCCAATTTTTCGCGCGGGGATATGATATTAATTTGAAAAACAATGAGCGGCATGACATTAAAATTAAACCGAATAATTGTTTTCTTCGCACCAATTGCGATGACGCGTTGCGCCATTGAGTGTGTATCATCGTTAGAAATCCATTGGAAAGTTGGGTACGTGCATGCGTACGTGCGCGCGCTTGAGTGTAAAATGAACAAAATGTTAAGTGTTGCGGCTTTGAAGCACGCGCAAAACCGCGGTATGACGGTTCTTCAAATAGCTTTTATTACGCTTCAATTTTCCAAATGCTCTTTTCTTCCCATTCCACTCGTGCTCTCCCTCTCATTCACTCGCTCTCTGTCTCTCTCTCTCTATCGCTTTAAAGCGAAAATCATTGTGTAATTATCGTCGTTGTCATAATCGCCGCTGCTATCTGTATTAGAAAAGCGCACACCACCACCATCACCGCCAACAACAATAACGACATAAGCCATATTTACCATCACTTATTCTAACTCAAGCTGGTGTTTCCGGTAATTGTTTTCGTGTTCAGTGCTCTACACACATTCTCAACGGTTGGCAGAACGACAACGACATGCCATTGCCGATGCCATTTTCATTTGATGTGATGGGAGTATGTGCGAGATAGCAAGAAAGAGAAAGAGAGAGGGAGCGTAAGAAGAGAGAAATTCAACCGAAAAATGAGAGTAAGTGTGTCGTCAATATATTGAAATGGGACACGCTTTCCCAACGCGCCAACCAACCAAATACCAACAATTCCAGCAAACTGACAAACACCATTGACATTTAGCAACTGTGTTGAGTTCCATAGTGATTGCGTCTCTACGTATATACACATACATAGATAGAAAATAAAGCAGGCTTATTGAACTTGGCGAGCAATTATTTTGTGGATGCGATGCAAATAAACTCGATGTAAATTAAAAGTGATGGTAAAGCATTTCAACGTATCAATTCCAGATGCGTTCAAATGAAAGCGATGATTCGGCGAAAATGACGAGAGAGAAATTTTTTTCGTTTGTATGCGCATTCAATTCGTAGACCGAACGAGCGATTTTACATTGAAAATGCCCTTTTGTAGTCAACAATTTCACAATATCAATTACTTATGAAAATGATGACCATGGCAACAGCAACACATCTCGATACTTTGGTAATTGAAATTCGATTTTATGCTGGAAGAATTTGGAATATTCTATTAAAATAAGGAAAAAAAAGAGGCCAGATTTATGGCACAATGAACAATTATTCAACATTTTGTCGAATGTGTTTTCCATTTAAAATTTTAAGATCATTTGAAAACAGTTCCATTTCCGTACGTAAGCAAACAAATGTAGAAGAATGTGACATTTCGTCAAGAACTTTAATGCATTTCGAAGTGAATGCTGTGACATGCAGAATTTTTAATATTTGTTTAACAGTTGCATGTGAAAACACGAAACTATACAAAACAAAGTCTGGCGATATTTTTTAAACTGAAAATTCGCATGCGAACACAATCACAGAGTTTGCAACTGAAGCATCGCTGCACTTGAAAAACATTTTTCGAAATCATATTCAGTGTTCATCAGATGCAATCTGCTACTTTTTTCCGCATCGCTTCAAAAAATGATAGACAAAAAGTGTAGTGAATCGTTATGCACTTACTTGCAAACTCCGCCATTTTCGCAAAAGTCCTTGTCTCCATCATGGCATAAAGGCCCCACGCCGCAATCGTCTCCGCTGTGGCCCGGAAAGCATGAGCAGTAATACGACCTACAGTGGAAAAAAGAGAGAGAAAAAATAAACACAGAGAATGAATAGTTTTATGGGGAAAAATACACTTTGGGAACGACCAAGAGCTTAAAATAAGAACGATTTACCAATGATTGCTGTTTTATACACCCTCACATACACCAAACAGTAGACAGAAAGACAAAGTGTGCTTTTGAGGATGAAATTGCTTGAAAGCATAAAAATAACACAAATCATAATAATACAATAACGACAAATTATTCGAGCGAAAATTGGGTGCGTGTTTGAGATCAAAGCGAGCCCATGATGTAGCATAATATCTAGTAATGGAGTTCAAACCGTTCCAATTTCATTTGGTTCCGGGAAATGTGTCCTTTTCTTCGAAAAATTGGCTCATGATTTAAGGCAATCTTTTGTGGATTTGGTTTCCGGTTTTTTTATGCCAACGATTCCGTACATGTCTCGGTAATTTGTCAATTTTCCACATTATTTCAATCTTGTTGTCATATCAACCAGGTATGAAAAAAAACGATCCTTTGCTTCAAATGCATACACACACACAATCAAAATCCCTACCATATATCATACTTTCATTTGTATGCTATCATAAACATTGCGCCATGAATTATAAATCTTTTGATAAGAAAGAAAACAATGGCAGTGTAAACAAGTGAGAATATCAAGGGATGGCATAGCGCACAGGTAAACGTTCAGCCAAAACACGACAAGTCTGGCGGTTGGCAATCAAAAAAAAGTAAGGAGTTAACAATAATAAAAACAGGCAGCAACAAGACTACACAATTTGCCTAACACATTTGTGAGAGTCATTTTGAGAGAGAGAAAAAAACATATGTAAAAGTGTCACTACAAAAAGGTTCAATTTGTATACATCCATAGATGCCCAGGCCGATTCCATCAGACTGTGTTTTTTTTGTTTGTGTTAAGCTTTAGCTTGAACAAGCTTCACATTTGTTGTTGTCGCTCTTCAGCCCAAGTATTCATGTTAAAAGTTTCAACAATGCATTGCTTTAGCTGCAGGGGCTCTTGTCGGTTTGTGTCGGTGGAACATTCATCGTTGAAAAACGTTCAAAAGGCAAATAAAACGGAAACACAAAACAAAAGCACCCAACAATGCAAACTAGCAACAAGATTTTTAAGTTCCGATTATGGATCTGCCTACTTTGGCTCAGTCTCTCTCTCCTTCTCTTTCTCTCGTCCTTTCTTACTACCCAATTCTCTCTGTCTCACGGTTCGTAGAGAAGCAAATGTGACACGTGAAATTGTCTGTGACAACCAGGAAAAAATAGTCGAATAAGGCAAACAAGAGATGAAAGATGAACACACACAAAAAAGTCAGGCAAATTCAAATTCAACCAAATGATACAAGTAAAAAGTTGAGAAAAACAGCGAGAAAAAACAACGATGATAACTCAAAACCTCACTGATAAAGCCAAACAAAATGAGGCAATTCTCATGAATATAGATGGTAAGGTTTTCTTTGTCTTTTACCTTTTCTGCCAAACAGTCTTTTGACATCCGATGTAGCTGAATATTTTGTTATTGAAACGGTGCTCAATGTTTGTCCTACGTATACATATTTGGGTTTTATGTTTGAAAAAGATGCTTGCAAAATGAACTTGTGAATTATGACATTCATTCCCTACGTTCCATCGAACCTAGGAGAATATCAGGCTCCTGAATCATGTGAGATATTTGAAATAAACATTAATTGTATGACATATTTTTGAATATTTCGAAAAAATTAATCAGATTTTTGTGGATTTTGGAGATATTTGAGATTTTTTGTATTAAATCTAAATAAATACATTTAAATATCATTCATAATCACAAAAATCCAAAATATTCCGCCGTATTCACAAATATCCACCATATTTCATACGACAGATTCTTAGAGATAAATTGGATTTTTTTGAAATATTTGAAATAATTTAAGCGTGATATTCCCCTAGCATCGAACGGTAGGTATCTCATTTTGTTTTTCTTCTTGAATTAACTTCTTTTATTTTTCGTTCTGGGTTCATAAATGTCAAACTTTGTCGAGACAGAAGAATACAAGAGCCAGGAAAAACATTTCAGTGCATTTATTTGCGTTTAAAGCATTTTTAAGAGGTAGCTATGGTAATCGCATTCCTTTGAGATGAATTCGTGGAAATTGGATAAGAGAAAATTGCATTGTCAGCATTTCCGTTGGGAGTTTTTTGAGTGGAATAGAAGAATAGTTTGGAGTGTTTTTAATAACATTGTTATTACTGAAAAAAGCTATGCTTTAACAGATTTTACTTGTTATTCTTTGCATTTGCTTTTGCTTCATTTCCAACACTGTTGCTATGAACTCTTTACACTGCTCCGAAATTTTTAAATACCAGAAAAATGTGTTCCAAGTTCACGCTTAATTTGAATGGTTTGATTTAAGTTGAAATAAAACTTAAAATCGTTGTAATAAAAAAGTTTGAAAATGAGGTTTTCATGTAAAAACACGTTAAAACATGTGCCATAAAATGAAAGATGCGTAATCGAATTTCCCGTCGAAACCACGTTTGGTCATCTAAAACAACATTTCATAACGTTTTAATAATCGACGAGTGATCACGTGCACACAAAACCGTGAATTACACGGGATGTATGGTCGTTTGAAACGTTGTTAAAAAAATTCGCGTTCTAGTTCGAACAAACTCGTAAAATACACGAACCCAACACAATCACTGCATTGCCGAAATATGTGTGTGCATTTGAAAAAAGCTTTTTTTTTTTTATTGCGGATCAAACTTTTTTCTCCCCATCCCGATACCAGAACGTGTTCATGCATTGTATGAACAAAAAAGTTCAAACAAAAAAGTAATGCATTGTTGTAAAATGAATCGTCAGTCTTCGACGATCGATGCTTTTATGTGCATGCTTTGCTGCTCTGTTCCTATCGTAAAATGTTGCAATTTACATGGTGTAAAAATTTTATGCGAGAAAATTTTCCGTAAAAATGATAAATTCGTTGTTTTCCGCTCCCCTTTCACCCCTACCAAACTCGATCATCGAAAATCGTAAATCGGACGATTCGTATGCGCCCAGAACATTGTAATAAAATGCACTCACTGACACACTTTTACTCAGCACAAAAAACAGTTCAACCAATCAGGAAGATAAAGTTATCGACTAGGAAAATATGGTTTTTTCGTGTCTGGTATTGAATGCGACAGATCGTGAAATTTTAATTTTATCGTTTTTTTTCGTTCCATTTCATAATTGATTCTTCGTTTACAAATTGTCAGAATGGCTTCGATTTTTTCGGTGAGAGCATTACCATTGATGTTTTGATTGATTTGAAGGTGGAGCCATTCGGAATACGTTTTTCGAGAATTATAGGTCAATTGAATACCCAAGGAAGGTGATTTTACTATTTAGTAAGTTCTCTTTTGTTTTTCCTTTTCAATCAAGTAATTTGAATACATTTTTCCCACTGTTGACTACTGGGATAGTATTCCACGCAATGTCGACTATAGCGTTGCCGATTATCCTGCGAACGATTGATTGTATTGTATTGTATTGTTTATTCACGTTAAAATTATTTACATTATGGGAAATATTGTGTTTGGGATTCAGTCTAATGACTATGCAGCAAATGAAAGTTATTCTAGATGTGAGATTTGTGTATGAATGGAATTGAGTGATTTTAGTTTGAGGAAAAATACGTTATTAAAACCTCAATATAAATAAATTTTTCTATATCTTATGCCTACTATTTACAAATGCACTGTTAATGCAAATGGTATTTAACGCGTGTCTCTTATGGGACTAGTTAAAAATGGAAAATTTAATTGCAAAGATTAGTAGTAAAATTTGTACTGTTGACATTTCACATTAAATCAATTTCTCTAATTAGATCAAAGTCGGAATTATTGCACTCTAAAATGAAATTTGAGTTTAATGTTTCTACGAATTTATCAAATCTTTGAATTTTCGAGATTTGTTCAACAAACACGGTTGGTGTTCTCCTTGGCAATTTATGGATTGTTTTGACGATTTTATTCTGTAGTACGTTGAGTTTGTGTGTGTGTGTGACTGCTGCGCTCGACCATACTGGGCTACCGTATGCCAAAATCGGACGTACAACTGATGTGTAGATAAGGGCTTTGTTGGTTGTTGACATTTTGGATTTCGGTGCAAGCATCGGGTATAATGCTCTGAAGCATTTATTCGCTTTGTTGATTGCGTTTGATATGTGGTCTTTGAAGGTCAATTTTTTATCAAAAACCATGCCCAGATATGTGATGGAATTTTGCAATGCGATTGTACGGTCATCGCATTTTAGCTGCGTAGTCGGAATGCGCCTGCGTTTACCATCGAACGTGAATAGTATTCCTTGAGTTTTGCTCGCATTGATTTTTATCCTCCATTTTCTGAAGAATGACTGAATCGAGTGAAATGAATCGTTCAGCCGTTTAATAATTTTATTCGATGTTTTGGCCGATGTGTATATCCCTGTGTCGTCGGCATACAGCGCTAATTCGATATTGTTTTCGGTCGGCAAATCGGCGATGTATAGCGCATACAAAATTGGTGATAGGCATGTCCCTTGCGCCAATCCAGCTGGGATGTTTACGATGCGTGATGACTCATTGTTTACATTTACCGAGAAGTGACGATTTCGTACAAATGCATTGATCATTCTGGTTAGATATGTTGGTAGCTTCATTTTGATTAACTTGTATACCATGCCATCGTGCCAAACGGTATCAAAAGCCTTTTCGATGTCGAGCAGTAGCATTCCGGTTGACCGTTTACGTTGTTTGTTGATTTGAATGAATTGTTTGATGCGCATGGCCTGGTGAACTGTCGAATGTCCTCTCCTGAAACCAAATTGATAGTTCGGCAATAGGTTTTTATCTTCGATAAAATCGATAAGTCGTTTTTGGATGATTTTTTCGAGGATTTTTCCCATTGCACTCAGTAGACTTATCGGTCTGTAGCTTTGTGGATCGGTGGGTGGCTTTCCAGCTTTGAGAATC